CAAGTTTGAGATTTAATTTTGAGTTTGAGTTTTGATTTCTTCAGTGCGTGTTTATGTGCCTGTAAAAGCCAGACAGATGTGCATGTGTAGAAATTTTGCAGTTGATGTATGATAGAGAACTGATGGGAAACCCTGGTTTTATCATGATTTTGTATCATTTACATGATGTTAGGCAGGAAAAAACACTTGCAAACAGTTGATCTTCTTTCAGCTTATCTTCAATTGAGAGAGAAGCAGTCAAAATCAGTCAGAGGCACAGTAATGAGCAAACGGTACAAATTAGACCTGAGAGAATTTTCCTCTCTTCTGTGCAGGGCTGTCACACTCACCGTTTCAGTATCGAGGTAGTCTTTGAGGAGCAATCTCCGAGTGGTGTCTTTGCCATCCTTTAATCATGTAGCCAAGAAGTTTCTTTTCATGTACAAACATGTACAAACTAGCAAGCTTAATATTTTCTGTTACCGCTTTTCATGACTTTCATTGACAGTTCAAAATTTTTTATGCCATTGTAATGCCTGAATTGTAAATGAAAAATAGGAGTGCTCTTGGCACGGGGTAGTTATGAATTCTGAGCAGAAACAGCTATTTCTGATGAAGAAAAAAATGATTCATGTATTTATTTCAGAGCATAAGGAGGTAAGATGTGTAGCCTGTGTCACTGAGTCTGTCAGAGAGGGGGGCATCTGGTCTGCTTGGCGCACAACAATGTGTGAACTCGAGGTACTACGGGCAGATAACCACATCCTGGGGATCAACGTCATCGGCAGCCAGCAGAACACACCCGCCTGCTGCCCAGTAGTGAGCAGCTCCTTAGCCTGCCCTGTCGCCTTCCACCAGTTATCAAAATTTAGTTTTCAAACAGTGTTTTACAGAGATGCAGTACCCTGAAGTGGTGATTATTAGATGTGCTAATGAAGATATTCTCATAAAAATAATAAACGACTTGACTTATTTATTGGGGTGAGTTGGGAGAATATGTGTGAGGGTGTTGGCAGAGGAAAACGAGCCTTTCCCTCCTGTCCCTTCTGCGTTAAAGTTAGCAAGTACAAGGGGTGCTCCCTCATTACATCTGCTGATTGTGACTGTGTGGCCTTGTTAGGTAGATTACAGTGGGATCCACCTCCTCTTTGGTGAGTTGTTTTCTTACAATAGAGGTAATTTTTTGAGATGACATCCTACAAAATTAAACCCTCTGAGAGTCTTATTGCTGACTTCTGCACAACCAGGATTTTTTTATGTCGAGGCCGTCGTGGAGTGAGCTTTCTGTCCTGAAATGGTATTTGGAGCAAGGATTTCCATTTGCTAGGTTTAGCTCTTCTGAAAAATGGCTATGCTTTATCAGTGGCTGAGAAAATGGTCCATTTTGAAGCCTTACACCACGATATTAGCATAAATAACCCATTGCACAGTAACTGCAGCATTGTAATTTGTCATTACAACAGTGTAATATTGAGTTGGCTTCTGGGTGGATAGCTGTGCGCTATCGCTAAAGGCTAGGGCAGGTTTATGAGGTGATGCATAGTTTAAAATGTGAGACGTTTATGGGCTTCTTGAAGCAGATTTATGCCACCTTGCCTGGGTAACTGTCTCAAGGTTTTGAACAGCAGAACAGTGTCTCCTTACAAAGAGGTGACTGGGAACTCCACCGGGCTTGGGGGAAGAGAGGCTGAAATGTGTGAGCACAACTTTCTGTGCAGATGTGTGTGATGCTCTTGGCAGATGCAGGCTTGTTCTTCCCAGGGGCACCATGCCTTTGCAAGAGATTCCAGGTCCAGCTAAATAACTTAGCTCTCCAATGAATAAACAGACCAAAGCCAGCTTCTTGTTCCTGCAGTGCCATGAGGGAGTCACGAGTAAGTCAGGAGGATGAGTTGCAGCTGGGGACTGGGTGGCCGTTGAAAGGGAACCTTGTTCAGCTCTGGGTTACCCATAACTTTCACTGCAAGAATCTTAGGGAAGTTCTTCCAGGTTGTAGGTTGTCAAGGCAAGAGCTGCTACTTAGTGCAACCACAGGACTTGTGGGTGTCTGAGGAGCTGGCTAGGTTTATCTGAGGCGTGGTGCTCTGGGAAAGGTGTGAAAGAGTTATCTTACCCAGTGCAGAAAAAAATTTGGCCCCAAACCTTTCCACCCCAGTTCATATAGCAAAGTAAAGAGTTGGGGAACTGGAGAAGCTTGGTTTAGTAATGGTGTTATTTGAGACTTGTCACACACAGGGTGGCAGATTGCAGTAGGATCAGGGGTCACAGAAGCATTTTCTGACTAGTGAAGCTGTTGGAGGAAGATTTTTTCAGAGAGAACCAAAAGCTAGAAATTTAGTGTCACTTTTGAAAAAGTGTGTTGGTCAGCATCCTTTCCCCTGCGTGACCATATGTAGATTTTTGTCCTTCTATTAGCAGTAATCTGGTGGGGTCAGGAAACAATTTTACAATATAAATAATTTTTTCAAAGCTTGCAAAGTAATTAAAAAGTTATACCAATATATATTGTGGAAGTGTGTTCATCTCTGTATGCCAGTGTTCTTTTACAGCTGCAGTTATTTAGATTTACGTAGGCAAATACCAAGCTATGCCATGTAAGGAACTAAATGTTTTTGCCATAAATGACAAAAAATCTCCCACAAAGCAACAGATTCCCTTCCCCAACAGGCTATTTCCCTTGCTTGGAGGGAAGAGCCTGCGAAGTCTCAGTTTGACAAGAGTCAGGGAGCTCTGAAAGAACCATATAAATAATCTTTTATGTATTTTCTTTAAAAAACACAAGCAAAACGCAGCCTTCCTCTGCCGTCCATAAGGGCTGGTTCGGGCTGAGGATCCCCCCGGCCCCTGCGGTCCGTGAATGTCCAGGCTCCCTGTGTGTCGGGTGCTGTGGGGTGGGACTGCTCTTCAGGCAAGCGGGAGATGGATGGAGGTCAATGCGCTCCACAACGGTGTGTCTAAACTCAGCAGAGGTGTCCCGTCCTTTAGCCTTTAGTCCTGAGTGATGGTGGAGTACTGTTACTGTCGGCCAGTGGTCTCAGGCCAAGAGAAGTTACCCAGAGCCTTGGAGAAGGTTCAAAGACCGTATGTTTAAAAATCTTTCACCCTGAGAGTTATCTGCTAGGACTAAAATGAAACACAGTGGCAGAAAGGTGAAGCACATGTTATTTCTGTTTTCTGTTCCTATATCTTCTTTGTTAAGTAAAATGAAAGCATTCAGCTTCCAGAGCCACTGCCTGAAAGCTTTTGTGGGTACTTTATGCACCGGTGTGTTTCCCCTGTACAATGATAAAATCAATCAAAAAAAAAAAAAAAGCTGCACTTTTTTTTTAACAAAGTTAAAAAAGAGGTTATATTTACATATAGAAGGTTGGCATCTTTCAGCTATTGCCTTTGTACAGAGAGGAGTGCTTTATCATCGTGCCAAAAGCATGGGAAAACCAACAAATCGTTCTTTCTGGATTTAAATATACCCCAGAGTTTCTAGACAGCTGTACATGTGCGTTTTCAAACGGCTCCTTGAGTGTTCTTACCTCCTCCTGCAACAACAGCTAGGGAGTTACTAAAATCTCAGCCGGTTTGGCATGAACGTTTTGGTGTACACCCTGCTATTTCAGAGAAGTCTTGAGGAATAGGGTACAGTGTAGCTGTGGTATTTAGTTTATAGAATGATCCTCTTTAAACACTTGCTTGTATTGAGCATCACATTTTATAGAAATATTCTGACATTTGGTGCCCAAGGGTGACAAACAGCCATGTTTAATTCTTAATTTTATAGAATGTTTCCCTTAAGAAAATGTGTGTGTATGTATATATATATTTTAACTTTACCAAGGGTTTTTCAGGCTTTGTGCAGATCTTCGAGGATTTGATGTGTATTTTTTCTTTTTTTTTCTTTTTCTTTTCCTTATCTCCGCCCCCCCCCCGCCCAGTTGTTGGAATAGAGTCTGTCCTTAAGCTGCACGTTGCCTTCAACCCTTTGTAAATACACGAGAGAGCTTCCCCTCAGGGTCTCAGCCCTCTTCTACGGGCTGGCGGAGGCCAAGGCAGAGATGCTTGTGCTGAACTTCCTCACGGTGCTTCTGAGGGTCTGCTCCAGCCAAGGTGGAGCGATCAGTTGTTCCCAGGCCCTTCAGGCTGGTTTGTTGATCGCCACGTGCGTCGTGCCTGGCTTCGTGAGAAAGAGCAGCAAATCAGTTTGATTATTGGGTCTGTTGGATAATCCTTTCAGAGACCCATGGCCTGGAGCTCCAGAATGTGTTGTTCCAGTTATTCCTCTCTCTTTTTTTGACATCCAGATAGGTCATATCGCACCATAATGCAATCATAGCATCAGCTGAAATAGCACGTAGTAAATATATTGGCAACATGCAATAATGCTTTTATACAGAGAAATACCACTTGGTATTCTATGCTGAAACCTCTTCTCTGTTTTATTGCTGGTTCTCATCTGTTCGGTTTCTTTGAGACATTTGCATTCTCGAAAGACTTTCTGAAACATGGATTATTTTATAGACCTGAACCTACACTATGTTTATACTGTCCCGGAGTGTATTTGATCTTCTGGATTTAGAAACGTCGACCTCACTTGAAGTTTTCATCTTGAGATGCAGTTTTTGATACAGCTTTTCTTTAAAGGGTACGCAGAGGAAAAAATAAATAATGGGGTCAAGGCACACATTTGCAGCAGACAGTACAAGAGTAAATTCCTTTGCGTAGAACAGTGTTTTTTTTAACTGGCAGTTGAATTGTGAGCTAGTTTGACTTAGAGTGTATGGTATTCTGCAGAGGTGATAGGGTACAAAGCAAATGACAAATACAAACATGATACTGAATATATTACGGCTGGTTTTTCTCTTGGTCACATCTGAGTTCCTTCTGAATTTTTTATAAGAACTATATATCTTTTTTGATATAGAAGTGTAAAAAATGATTAGCAGAAGAAAAACAACCCAGAAGATCCCTGTGCAAATATAACTTGATGCTTTGTGCCACTGTCTGCCAAGCTCACTTTTAAGACCTATACATTTTCTGGAATAATTGTCTTTAGTGATTTCATTAGTTAAAATCATATTTGGAAGTGATATAAGCATTAACAATAACCATATGATTATAGACACCACCTTACTGTAGTTAACTGTGTGAACATAGGAGGTAAATAAAGGCTTTACAATTTTGTAGTATCTGTCAAAACCTATGAGGCCAAAAAATGTTATCCCGATGTACATGTTTGTATAAAAAACAACAGCAGAGTACCTGCACACAAACGTGTTGAGCTGTGGAGGTGCAATTTCTGAATCGGCAAGAATTTTGAAAGGAAATGTTAAGCTCATTAGAAGATCAGCAACAACGATGTTTTTGAGATAGACAATAAAACTCTTTTTGCTAGAAACATACAGAAAGATCCATGCTGCCACACTGTTCAGCAAGAGTCCTACTATGAAAATTAAACAGTAGACCAGCGGAATGACTGTCTTGGTTATTACTGTGCTGTGACTGCAGCTGGCTTCCGAGGCATTTGTGCTGGAGTTGAACATCTTACAATATCTTTGTTCCTAGAAGCAGAGAAGGATTATCTCAGTAAGATAAAATGGTGCTATGCTTTCCATTAATTAGTATAACATTTCTACTTTTACTTCACAATAGACTTGTCATACTTCTCAGAAATGACCATGTTTCCACACCAGATCATTTCCCGCAGGGATGCGTAGTTAGTATTTTCCAAGTGGTGCCATCTCACTTTTTGATGATGTTCAAGGGCATGCTGCTGTTTTGAACAGAGCATCCACTTGCCTCTCGGTTTGACTTTAATCCAGTGTCTTCAAGCCCTATGCTGCCCTTTTCTGCGGGTATAAGCCTATGCGCTGCGAGCTGGGAGGGGAACTGAGCCACAGTGACTTTGTGACTCTAAATATATCTCATTAACCCTTAAGGACCAGTATGTATTTTTAGCACTGGTTTACCAGGAAGCATGTGAGGGATATGAATATTCCTTGTACAAGTGTTTTGTTTTTGTACACAGGCATAAAAACCACTCTTCTGTTAGTCAAGTGTGGAAATATCTAGTGTATGCCAATATTTTCTAAAGTTCACTTGAAACAAACCCATTTGTGCAGCTAGCACAGTTTACTTCAAACTTTTACTTTTAGTAGCACGACACACGGGAGTGTGTCTGTGTGTTAGCATAATGTAGAAGCTAGAGCTCTAGTCATCAAGGCATTTGTTTTTGTTTGGTTGGGTTTTTAAAGGAAAAAGATGGTGTGGAGAGCGGGTGTTAGAACTACCACGTGAATAGGTGCGTTAGGATTAGGAGGTAACAATGGGTGGGGTTGGGGTGTTACTGCTAAAACTAGAAGGATCTCCTGGAAAAGCACCAATAGCGACTGGCGTTTTTATTTAAGATGGTAACACACTGTGTTTAAAAACTGTTCTCTTCCCATTGCTGTCTGCTGTGTACATGTTTTCCTCCTGTCAAGCTGTCTAACCAGGACCCTCTCCCTGCATATGATGTGTTTAGAACTTGGTCCTGCTCTGTAGGGTTTCCTAAAGCAAAGTACCTGGAGGTGGGTCTTTCTAGGCTTGGACTTAGTAGCAGATATTAAATGGCGTAGGAAGTTCATGAAGTATTTCTTGTGCTGAGGTGTCATACAACAAAGGATTATTTCGGAAGTGTGTGATTAGAGCTGTGGACATTAAAACTTTGTAAAGTCTGTGCAGTATGGAAGACACCCTAGCCAAATTTTACATTTGATACCAGCAGATTTATCAACTGTCTGTGGTTGAGAAGGAGGTGAAAGTCCAAGCTAAACTTTGTAAGTCTTTCAAGATCAATGGCATGTCCTTACCTTTCTTGATTTGACTGCTGTGGTGCTCTTTGTTAAGGGTCTAGAGTGCCTTCCATTCTCAAGCACAGGGCCTCTTCTCTTGCTGGGGACCTATGTGAGAGACGGGAGAATACAGTTGTTAGAGCTGTGTATCATAACGCAGGACAGCGTAATTCTGCGGCACTGAGGGCTTCCCGCAGCGCAATGCCTGTTTAGACCGTCTAATGATCAGCACTGCAGACAAGTCTTCAGATCTTTCAGGAGGGCTTCAAAATTGGTTAGGGACAGAGCCATAGAGCAGTCATGTTCAGCCTGAAGCCCCTCACTGCCTGGGTAAGGCTAGAGGCTTTTGTGTCCCCCCTGCTGGCATCACGTCATTTGTGTTCGTGATCAGTTTTGTCTCTTTTTGTCATCTAGTCGCACACTCGGCTCTTTCTGAAAGGCTTTGTCCCTACTGCTCTATCAGCATTGATAGCGAACACTGTCACCTCCCTAGCCTGTTCCCCCCACCAGTCGTGGGTGCCAGCGTGGATCCCGTATGTGGTACCACGAGGGCTGCCTCCTGTGCTCTGGTAAAGAACCAGTCTCCCAGAGAAGCCTTCATGCAGCTGCTTGGTGCTTCTGGCTCCTCTTAACCACGGCTGCTGCAAGGGCCGCACTCCTCCGCTGCTGCGTGGATTGCAGCGGTGGGCCGCATGGAGTTGGCAGAAGGCATGCTTCCGCTTCATAGAGGAGCTGCCTGACATCATGAGAACATCCTCTTCTCTCGTGATAACGTGAGAACTTGCAGTGGCTCCACCAAGTGATACGTGGCTTGAAGTAAGCGTAGGTAGTCACCCCTCATTCCATGTTGGGGTTCGTCTGGAAACTGTGAATACTCCTCAGCTGGTGTTAATTGGTGGGTCGGTTCAGGACCTTTTAGTCCAAATGCTGCTTGAGGTGATGACTAAGCTTAAGGATTCTTCCCCCCCCAATTCTTAAAACATTGCTGTTGGGTTTTTTTGCTGGTGCATAACTGCTGCTCTTTGCTGGCCTGTGTTGGAGGGTGTGTGTTAGCACCCGGCAATCTGTGGTTTGTATGTGAGAATAGCCTTTCATACTTCAGCAGCATTTCATGTTCAAATGCTTCGTCCAGCATAAAGTGTATTTATTCTATGTAAATAATATCAACTAGTTGTTCAAAACCAGCAAACAAGATTGATCTCGTAAAATATGCAAAAGTTTTGAACTGTCTCAGTTTGCAAATCATATTGCCTTGGCAAAATACACCAAAGGAGAGTTGCATAAACTGTTAAAAATGCTTAGTTCCTTCTGTAGTCAGACTCTTATGCTATCATTTGTAACCCTTCCAGTATCATTAAGGAACTTTTTCTTGACTTCTGTAACTTGGCTGTCAAATTTCAAAGTTCATGGCTGCCTTACTGAACATAAGAATAATATTTACAAGTTGGGTTTTTTTTTTAACCCTAAATATAAGGAAGATTCTGTAGTACTGAGTGCACATTTTAGGTATGTATGGAAATTAAGGCAGCTGCGTGATAAATACATACACAATGTAATTACTGGGTCAGGAATTGTTAACAATGGTCACTGTCCCCAGAAGTCTTTTCTGAACTGCAAAATGGAGTTTATCAGGGAAGAAGATCACGCCAAATGTTATCTCCGATGTTACGAGAAATCTAGAGGAAGAGGAAGCGCAACACAGAAAACACAGCAATTGCAAATTGTGATGAGCTGTGCTAAGAGTATTTTTTGAGATTTTCTTTCTAACGTGGTGGGAATATCGGTGTGGTCTGAACTTGCAGTCCTGGCCACGCCGGTGTAATCCGGTCGGAATCCCGGCCTCAGGCAGGACGTGCGTCCCAGCTGCCGGCCCCGCTCCCCGGGGCTCCCGCTGGCCGGGAACCATCCGGGCGGGCTGCCGTGGGTCTCCTTGGCGGGTTAAAAGGGTGGACGTGCTCAGGCCCGTGCCTGCTCGGGGCTGCTCTGCTCCCTTCCCGCGTCGCCACAGCGGTGCCCGGCCTGGCAGTCGGTGGGTGCGTGCCGGGGTGGAGGCGTTCAGGGTCCGTGGTTGTCATTGCCGGTCTCCTTTGGAAGGCGTTTTTTGTGGTGGCTGTGGAGATATCTTGGTACGTTTGACTTCTTGCAACTTTGCCAAGAGACTAAGATTTCGTTATTTTCTGTTCTTATTATAACATTTGTCATAAGGCAATGTCTGGATTTTAATACTTAAGAGAATAAAAGTATGCAAAATACACTATGTACTATTTCAGCCCTTTAAATGGTGTATCGGGTGGTGGTAGTTCTTGTTTGTCATAGATGTGTGTAATGTAATGGAGGAAAATGGGATGAACAGTCGAATTAGGAGGACAGAGAATTAAAATAGTATTCCTGTCGCAGGAAGTAGTAAGCGAGTAACCGAGAGAGCACCGTACGTGGTGGTGCTCAGCGCACGCTCCCTCTGGCCCTTTTCAGAGAAAAGGGGGATCGTGAGTGTGGCAGTGATGTCTGGAGCCTCTCGGTTCCTCGCTGCTGTGCCTTCCAGCTCTTGCTTTCAAGACCACTCGGGTCTGGTGCGAGAGCACAAAGGACCGAGCGAGCCATGCTGCTTCTCAGGCCGCTCCTCGGCGTGCTGGTGAGAGTAGCGTCCTCTGTGAAGGCGGCTGAGAAGGACCGTGTCCCCCGTGGAGCTCGCTGCGGCGTCCGTCAGTCGCAGTGGCTCCCACCGACGCGGGCGAGCCATGGAGACGCCGCGGTTGGGTCCTGTCTGCAGCTACTGTCAGCAAGGGGAACAACAGAAGTATAAACAGCTCTTTACATCTTAACAGTACTTCTCACTTTTGATCCAAAAAAGGCAAAATTCAGGATATTCTGAGGAGGAGGTAGTAGTCAGTTGATGAAGGGAGGTATTTTTTCATGCTATGCTATTTTATTTACAAACTCCTGACTTCCCGAACACGGGATGAATCAAACAAAAAGCTGGACTCAGAACGCCGTCCTTTGGGGCTTTAAGATCACGCGCCAGTCTCGACGGTGCTGTCGGGCCTTGTGAACTGCCTGCCTTCTGCACCGTCTTTTTTTCTCCCGCACACGTCGCATCCCCGAGCCCTGCGCAGTCGCGCCTTCCGCCAGCGTCCCTACTTGGCGTCGCGATGCCTGTGCCGGGACTGCAGCCCCTCGGGTGACCTGGTGGACAGGGACCCCATGTCACCGGGTGGGGTGGCAGCACCCCGACCGCCGTTGCCTCCGTCTGCAGCCCTTTGCCTTGCCCTCGG